ATGCCCACTAAGAATTTGAGTTTATCTCAGTTGTACTTATTTAAATTCAAATACTTTAATATTTTTATCACAAGTAGCTAATACAATAGATTTATCTTTATTAAAAGTTATTTTCTCCAACATTAATTTTATTGAATAGAATGATTGTAGATTAATTTAAAAATGAATAGTCTTAGATTATATTATTTAATATCTTAAAGTTTATCTTCTTAATTGACTTCTTTAGTATTTTATTATTTTAGTTTAATTTATTTGAATTAACTCTATATAAATTCTTAATGAATAATTAGATTGAAGATAGGTTTAACTTCTTTTATTGCTTCTTAAATGGTTATATGAAATTGAATGTTAATTTCCGGAAATGTTGGAACACATTTTTTAGGATATATGGATAAAGAGCAAAAGGAATTTTATCAAGATAATCATCAATTCTACTAAATGAAGACTAATTAGTAAATTAAAATTTAATATCTTACATCTTATAGCTTAATACATCTCTTCAAGACATTCTTTTACTTTATTCTCTAATTTTATAACAATCAATTCACCATTCATTTTAATTATTATTAACATAATTAAATCAAATTTTCCTATTTCTATTAAAAATTTATAGATATTACCGAATAAAATATTCATAAATATTCAGTATTGAAATTTGCATGGTTAATTAAAAAATACTGATTTTCTAAAAAATAATAAAGCTATTATATTTCTTTTGTCAATGATAAATTCTCCAGTCTACAGGTCTTCATAGTTTGTTAGAAATTATGGTTAGCAATTCTGAAAATTAGGACAGATTAGAGCGTAAGTTAGTGATCTTATAAACAAAATGATATTTTATACCACAGAATGGTTAATTAAAAAAGCATGTATTGTATCAAATATGGAGAATCTCTTCGAAAATATAAAAAAAATATTTATCTCGGATTTACTGAGTTATTTGAAGTCTCAGATGATTTGTAATCCTTCTCCAGCTTTAAGGATAGCTCACTGCATTCTGAATCCAATGACCTTGAGTTACACAAATGAGTTTCAGCAATGATCAATCTAGGTACTCATGGAAAAAGAATTGGGTGGATATATACTTTAATGAGTGAGGACTAGTGGAAAACTGGCCTTCCGAAATTGCGTTCTAATGACAAGCATGATGAGGCAAGCTTTCAGGCGAAGATATAAATTAAATTTTAAAACTTGTCTTACTGAGTAAAAGGGGGTAGGTTAAAGAATACGAAATCAAAGTAGAGGAAACTGATACAGTTTTGGGGTTATTTATTTATCTATTAATTTCGAAAGGCTTGAGGAACATTGAATAAGAGGGTCTAAATTATTATACTATCAATATTCTGAAAAATACTAAAATTCTGAGAAATTTGCTAAAAAACTATGAACTAATGATAGAGAAGCTCTTAAATAAGTCTAAAGAAAAATTACATAAATAACTATGATTAATTGATGTGCTATGAGTAAGGTGTAGGATAATGAATGGTTAAAAAAAAGAGAAAAATTTCTTGAAACTCTATGACGATAATAAGAATTATAATCGGGAAATATAGGATTTTAAAGGGATACTAGAGGATTCAAAGGATATTTAACTACATGATATAGAACAGAAAGAGAATAAGAGTGAATAGACTCAGAAGAAGGTAAATCATCAATCAATCCATTCCAAAAACTTAAATTTACTGCTCTCTTGTACATAAACACACTTTATATTTAGATCGTTTTTAGCAAACATTATATAACCTAGCAAGAAAAATTTGAGCTATTTTTAGCTAAAATAATCTTTTTTATGAAAAAAATTAATCAGTCTTATTCTCCTAATAGGAGTATAGAATAAAGTAGAGGTTCTAGCACCTCTAGAAGATAATAATCTTGTCAATTTAGTTAACGGAAATGCTAATTCCCCAATTTTTCCCCACTAGTTGGTTAAATTAAGTATTAAGGGCCTACTTATGTTGAACACTTTAAATATCTCTTTGGGCTTGATTAGTCTAATGAGTAATGTTGGGTAGATATTGTTACAAAGTAATTAAATAATATTGGACAGAAGGACACTAGATCAACAATTATTTAAGCATTGTTAGCAGTGATAGGCGTAGAAATAAATAATTCTTCTATGGCTACATTGTGGCTTCTTCATCCAAATAGACTTTAGAGATTATAATTTAGTTGTGATCTAAACCCTATTATCTGAATGAGAAATTGATATTAACTTGTTGAAACTTAGTTGTAAGGAATTGGAATGAGAAACTATATAGTCAATCGTAGATAGAAAGAAATCCGATCTAATAGACAAGGATCATAGCCTTGTAAGCAAGAGCTTTCTGTGTATGATGTACCAATTCTGGGGTATTGAAAAAAACCTAAATAAAAAAATCTTAGATTAATAAAAATTTTAAGTATTAACAAAAGTAGAAAAAATATAAAATCAGTCATCTAAAATAATACTAGATAAGATTAGAATTAATAAGAAAAATATTAGAATAAGAAATGATAGAAATAGTAAAATATAGTAAGGTTTACGTAATTTATGATTGTAATTAACAGGAAGGCTAGTTTATATTTATAATACCAGAGTTTAGCCAAGTAAGAATTCAAGGTTATATTTACCTAATTCATACTCTGCAGTCAAGAGATGTAAAATGGAATGAGAATATCATATTGATGAGTGTTCAAAAGGAATAGATGACTAAATAGTGTTAGCCTATAAAATTAACCTTTGAGCTAGTTTGATAAATTAACTGAGTTGGAGGTTCTAGTTAATTAAATGTGTTGTAATAGAAATAAGATATCAAAAGGAAAATGAAAGGGCCCTGAAAGATGTAATCTTAGAAAAAATAAACCTACTCTTTCCTTTAAAGTGTTTAAACCCTAGGAGAAGAATTTAGTAAGATAAGAAAGTTATGCTATATTTATCTTATCTGGCTTAGTTAAGTTGATTACATCAAATGATGATCAGATTTAATCGGCTCCATCCGGTTTGTCAATGAGAAATCTCACTTATTAATTTTAGGGATCTAAGGATGAATTTGATAAAGCCAAAGAGGGTAGTTTGCTTTGATTAAAAAGGAAAATGAAATTTTGAAGAGAAATGAAAGAACTGGTTTTAGGTTCAATGATAGTAGAAATTAACAAAAATGATGAAACCAAAGGTTATAGCAGGTACTGAGTGTCATCTTTTTATGTAGAGTTTAGTATTTGGGTTGATCTTTTAGATTATGCGATAATAAATTTATGTTCCTTAATTTGTTAGGAAAGAATCTAAAAAGGAGATTTCAACTATTATGAGGTTAAGAAGCCCAATGTTTATGGTAAGCAGTCTTTGAACTAAGGAATTATCATAATGGTTTTTAGATATTGTTAAAGTTAATTTTATTTTATAATGGAGCCATCAGTAGCTCTTGATGATATTGTATTGCATTATCTAGATGAAAATTCATTGTATTTAGAAAGGATAACTGAGTAAAAATTTTTGAGCCTAATTTGACAAATGATTAAAAAATTTAATGTAATTATAATTTATTATAATGCCATACTTGATTAAAGTTATTGTCTCAGTTCATCTCATAAAATGGAAGGAGAATACTCTTCTAGTTAGTATTTAGAGCCATTGACTTGTTTCTCTGATTTATGCTTATCAAGCAGGGCTTGAGTAACTCCTTGCTTAGCTAATCTAAAAGAATAAACTTATCAAATAGCACGTAGTAGATGATAAGCAGAACTGATCTCAGAAGCTAATTAGATGGGAAGAGATAATAGTGAATCTTAAATCTCAACCAATGGAAAGAGCTCTGCTAAAATTCATAAGTATTAATTGAAGAAAGAATATCTGATTGCTTAATAAACACTCAATGTTAGTCAGATTTAACAAGAATTTCCAACTTAAAGTAGTCGATTAAAGTTTGGCTTTAATAGTAACAAGGAATAACTTGTTTAATATATTGGACAGATTGAGGATAAAATGGTTGAATAAAGAAGATAATAAATCACGGAAATTATCAGTGAAATGCAAATTGAAGAGACGAAATAAAAATGAGTCTTTTTTAATCTCTCCTTTAGTAAAATAAATTCTTTTAAGATAAGTAAGCCTATATTGACCTAGGAAAGAATTATTTATAGTTATTTATATGGAGTTGATATTCAATCAATTGGGGATACCCAAAAGGGAATATATGATGTGTGTTTGTCTTTAGATGAAGTAAGGATGATAGATTATTCCTGACCTTAATCAAAGTATTGCAATTAAGGTAGATGACACAAGTGTTGTTTTTAATCTCGCTTGGACGCTCCTAGGAGAGTCTAGGTGAATAAAGAGACTTTTTAGGAGTTGAGTATCTTGGGTGGTGTACTATCTCCCCCTTTTTACAGTCCTTATAATAGAGAGTTAAGCCACTACTGTTTTTCAATAATTAGATATTGAACTTGTTCCTTTCTATTGATGGTCATAGCAATCCATATTATATGGAAAATTACAATAGAATAGTTGTAGTCATTAGTACTATTCA